GGCTCGGACAGTGAAATGCATTTTGAGTGCAACTAACACTGAATGGCTGTGTTTGTGTGCGTACTGTTCAGACTCTGACAGAGCCTGAAGACATCTCCATGTCGGACATCAGCCGGCAGCCAACCAGCCACCTGCCCGCCGCTGTAAGAACCCACCGATCATCCACCTCTTGATCTGTAGATGTGGCTGTGTCTGTTTCTTTTTTTTATATCAAGAAAATCCACCAAAAAAAAAGAAAAGAACAACACATTTACCCTAATGATGGATATTGTCTGTGTAGAAAAAGCCTGATGTAGCACATGTGGGTCATTTGTCGAGCAGGTAATTACAACTACACGACACTATTCACTACTTTTATGACTGTTTCAGGTGTTCTTTTTGCTGCTGTGAAGTCCACTCATAGTGTATCTTCAGTGTAATGCAATCATCAAAATCAACATTGATGGAAGTCTGTATACAGTAGATCGTATGACACGTTCCACTGCTGCCAAAATTCTAATTTTCTTCTCATTTCAAAACATTTTTCGTGTTGCAGTGACATGTTTAACTTATTACGACTACAAACAAAATTATTTTATTCCAACACAATGTTTTTAACGTCATAACAACATATCGTTTTATCCTCTCGTGCCCTAAAATGGTTGTTCTTGCACAACAGCAACGTATTTCATTAGAACAAATTCTCTTGATGAGTCGGTCTGTTATTATATCAAGAATGAGACCCAGTCAGGATGTTTGTATGTTTTATGGCTCTGGGCTGCTTTTGTACTCTTTTTGCAAAGCCTGAGTGTAATTATTGTGTGTTTTTAATGTCAGATTACATCAGTTACACTCAACAGGAAAAACACATGAAGCGCTTTCATGAGATCGGCCTCTGTGTTGTTAGAACAAGAGCCGCTTCTTCTTTATGTCGGCACAGTTGTGTAAGAAGGAAATTGTTTGGTAATACGAGAGCACAGAATCTAAAAAGAAATGTCACACGTCAAATTAAATCTACTTTTGTTTTAGGAAAGTAGACGCATCTATAATCTAAATAAAACCGTTAACATGCTGAAGTCATGATTACAGGAAATAGAGAAAATAGCATCGTTTAGGTTAATTTGTTTTTTAAAAAGAGAAAAAAAGTAGTTTTAGGGATTTTTTTCCTCTTTCCTATTACATTTTTTTAAAAAGTATTTTTGAAACACACAAAGATTTTAATAAAATTGAAAGAAAAGACTTTGAATTCATGTCTAATGTAAAATAACACTAAAATCTCTAAATTGTGAATGACCACAAAATTTCCCTTTGTTTAAAAAAAAATGTACATTTTGTGGATGGATAAAAATATGTTAAAATTTATTTGCAAATTTACGGCAATTTCACAGATATTTTTAATAGATAAGACAGTTAAATT